AAGTACGGATGCAGAATTTAGTGGGAGCTTAATTAAATGCGTTAGCCTTTTGCGTTTAGAAATAATAGATTAAACCACTTTTACTAGTTTTAATTAGGGTTAATTTGATTAACGACCTAAGTTAGTTACTAGTATTGCGTGTTTAATTATGTATTTCGTAAAATTGCATGGGCCGTTCACAAATAGTGAACGGGTGAATGAAAGATTGCTTTCAAAACAAGTTCTTTGAAAATGGCAACTAGTGGGGCCCGACTAGGATAGAAAATACGGACTGCGCTCCGTTATGTATTTTCGTAAATCTAAATACGGTCTACGAACTGTTAAGTATTTTTGTACTATTAGATTAATCTTAGTCATTCTAGCTAGCTTCTTTTATTTCATTTTGGCCAAGATGTCTTAAGACGGCGTTTCGACGAAGACGAGCCAAGATGAAGACCCATGGAAATTGAAGATTTCAAGGGGTCATGCTAGTTGCCAAATGCATCTATTTTATGCCTTTTATATATTGTTATTATATATGATTGCTAGATGCATGTCTAGGATTTCTTGATGAGTGACATTTATGTCGCTCTTAGGACAGTCTTTTCTAGTAGTTTTAGTAATAATTCGGTCCATTTTAGTATGTTTTTGCTATGATCCGCCTAGTTCGAGTATTCTACCTTTGTGGCGCGTAATGTGTACTCATATGGTTTAGGTAGTCTATGCTCCCCTCCCCTTTCGTTGTATTACGCCTTGCTTTCCTTTTCCATGATTGCAGGTGTATGCCGTTGATTCGGAGAGGGAAGGAACAAGCGAAAAACGGGAAGAAATCCAGACCAGGCAAATGGCGCGGGCGCGCCACCTTTAGGCGCGGGCGCGCATCCCTTGAGCGCGGGCGCGTTGATGAGCTGGACCAACCATTAAATACCCACTTTTGCAGTGGGCGCGCATTTCTAGGAGCGGCCGCGCCATCATTTAAAGTGCGGGCACGCCATTGTTTGGTGCGGGCGCGCCTGTGTGCTGCTGATTCAAATCCCAGTTTCAGCCCAAATTAACAAAAGGGGAGGCAAAACGGCTAACTAGGGACAACATTCTATCATAGAGATATTATTTGAGCATAGAAACCTTAGAGGAGAGCTTTTAAGGAATTTTTCTAGGTTTTTTGTTTTGGCCACTTTTGTATTGAACAATCTTGATAGTTTTTAGTGCAATTTTCATTGCCTATCAACATTAGTTTTATTCTTAGTTTTTGAAGAAGTAATTTTGCAACATTGATGTATGGTCAAGCTTGGAGATTGAATGATGTATGGCTCTTTATTTGGATTTCAATGAAGGTTTTGGTACATTTATCTATTTTCTCTTGTTTTTATGATTAAAGTTTCTACCTTTGTTAGTTTAGTTGATAAAAACTTTGTCTTTCTTACTATTCCATTGGTTATAATGTTGCTTAGTATGATTGTAGTTGTAGTTATGACTAGTGAGTAGTTTCTTGTTGCTAGGGGTTTGGTGAAGATATGCTTTGAGTTTGATGTATGCTAGGCTAGGCTAATTTGGAATATTTGTGATTAAATCTTCCTTGTGCTTATACTTATTAGCCACTCCATGTTTATGGCCATATGCATGTTGTTGTTGAATGACGTTTACTAAATCGTGACGATAGTGTGACTTAGGAATAGTCATTAGGTGAATGATGTTTATGACCTTTGCTTGTATGCCTTACGACGATAGTGTGAGTGTATGCTAGCTAGGAAAGCTCTTAATCCCGATATGTGATTAGAGAGTATTCTTGATATTGCCTTGTTTGAGTTGCTTGGGTTACATGTAAACCTATTTTCCGATGCCTAATTCCGTTGAATTCATAGCATGTTTGATCCTTCCCTCTAGTGCTTGTTTTAATTGTTATTCTATCCCCTTTAGTCATTACTTTACCCACCATACTTCTTAATTGAATTAGATTAACATTAGGAGATAAATAGCGGTGCTTAATCGTTTCCCTGTGTTTGACCCTTAACTTACCTCTATGCTCTTTTAGTTGCATGTTTAGGACTACAAATATCATTTGATAGAGGTGTCTTAGTAACGACCTAAAACACCGCCTGTCAAATTGGCGCCGTTGCCGGGGAAACGGTTTCCATTGTGCGTTTATTTTCTTGTTGAGACTAGTTTTTTTCTATTCTTTTGTTTTTCATTATCTTGTCAGTGCTCACTTTCTGCTTAGCTTTGTATATGCACAAGAGGCCTAATTGCTCTAGGCCTTTGGTGTCCATAGACCTCGAGTTAGAGCGTACTCTAGCCCAATTGAGGAGACAAGCAAGGGAGAGAGGTGAAGACCCACTTCAAGAGGAAGTGAAAAGTTCCCCTACCCCAACTTCACCCACTTCAAGTGAGGAGAGCGAACCATCCACAGGCTCAATTCCCAACCCATTTGCCCAATACCATAATCAACAAAGCATGGCTGATCAAGGAAACATGGGTGATCAAAGGTCACTAAAGCAACTTGGAGCACCCGAACCTTATGCCTCTCAAAGTGGGATTTTAGCCCCCACCACCCAAGCAAACAATTTCGAGATAAAGCCTAATTTCATTTCAATGATAGAGAAGAGGCAATTTACCGGTGGGAAATTTGAGAATCCCCATGAGCATCTCAAAGAGTTTCTCAAGTATTGTGACACTATCAAGATCAACGGAGTCTCCCAAGAGTACATAAGATTGAAGTTGTTCCCGTTCTCACTCATGGGAGCGGCAGAACATTGGTTGAACAAGGATGTCCCCCTCGGTTCCCTCATGACTTGGAATGAGGTAACTACGACGTTCCTAGGAAGGTTTTACAATCACAAGAAAACCGCCGAGGCTCGCTCAAAGATTCAAAGTTTCCGCCAAAGAGGTGGAGAGTCTCTTTGTGAGGCATGGGAGAGATTAAAGAGTTACAAAGGCAATGCCCACACCATGGGATTCCTAATTGGCAAGTTCTCCAAACATTCTACGGAGGACTCTCCCCTCAAAGCAAGACTAGCCTTGAGGCCGGAGCCGGAGGCCCAATCATGAACAAAAGGGAAGATGAAGTGGAGAGTATCATAGAAGATGTTGTGCGCAATTATGAGGATTGGTACGAAGGTGAGAGGGAAGCCAATTTTAGCAAAGGAACGGTACAATCCGTAGAGCAAACCAATTCCATCACAAATCTTTCCAACTAAATGGCAAAGATGGCTAAACAAATGGAGGAGTTCATGAAATCAAGTTCTCAAAATACTTCCTCCCCTCCTCCCAAGGGAGGCCATGGTATGAATCCTTCTACTTCTTCTCCCTCTAATTACAATGCCATGCCTCCCGGTTGTATGTTTTGTGATATATGTGGAGGCTATGATCATAATTCTTAACAATGTATGTCCATAAGTGAAGTTCCCCCTCCCCATGAAAATGATGATAATGTTGAAGATGTTAATGCCATGAATTTTGTGCCCCGTGAGGGAAATAATGGAATGCGGCCAAATTGGAATCAAAACCTAAACCGTGGTTGGAATCAAAACCAAGGTTGGAATCAAAATCAATGGAATCAAAGTGGTGGTGGTTATGATAACCAAGGCCAAGGTAGGGGAAACTCTTCCAATGACAATGGAAGAAGCTACTCAAACCAAAGGCCCAATTGGAATCAAAACCAACAATACTATTCCAACAACCAACAACGTTTTAATTCCAATCAGGGTTCCGGGGGTAATAGACCTCAAAATGCTTCTACTTTCTCACAAAATAGTAGACCCCCCGGTTTTGACCAAGTAAGGCCCCATTCTCAAATTCCCCCTACTTAACCCCTCCAAATAGAAGCCCCTCCGGATCCTAAAATGACTATGCTTCAAAATTTCTTTTAAAATCAAGAAAACCATAATAAGAGTCAAGAGGAAGAAAAGAAACAAATCAAGGAACACATGAAAATGCTTGAGACCCAAATCGCTCAAATTGCCCAATCAAGTTCTTCATCCTCCCCTTCTTCATCTTCTTCTTTACCTAGCCAAGGTGTCAACCCCAAGTCTATGTATGCCATTACTACTAGAAGTGGGAAGATCCTTGAGAGTGATCTAAATGTTGAGAAGAGTCCCGATGTGAGGATAGGACTTGAGGTTGAGGATGAGTCATCAAGAGAGAATGAGATTCTAGAGGGAAGTGCCGGAAAGAATGAGAGGGGTGAGAAAGAGAAAGAGAAGGAACCCGAAAAGGAGAGCACCAAAGATCAAACATCTTTAGCCCTTAATCTCCAACCTAGGAATGAGAGGTTACCTTTTCCCCAAAGATTTGCTAGGTCTAGGCTTGATGTCCAATTCGGAAAATTTTTAGATGTAGTAAAGAGCTTGCATGTTTCTATACCCTTTGTGGATGCTATGAAAGAGATTCCTCACTACTCTAAATTCCTAAAAGACCTTTTAAATGGAAGGAGAGAAGTTGAAACTATTAACCTAACCGCAAATTGTAGTGCTATTCTCTCTAGTAAGCTACCAACCAAATTGCAAGATCCCAGTAGTTTTTCCATCCCTTGTTCCATCAATGAGACTCATTTGGGGAAGGCTTTGTGTGATCTAGGTGCTAGCGTGATCTTAATGCCCTTTTCGGTTTACCAAAAGCTTAATGTGGGAAACCTTTCACCTACAAACATCACCCTCCAACTAGCGGATAGGTCCACAAAATTGCCTATAGGGAAAGTTGAAGACATACCCCTTAGAGTTGGTAAGTTCAGTTTTCCGGTGGATGAAGATGAAAGAATTCCTATAATTTTGGGTAGGCCATTCCTAGCTACTTCTAATGCAATTATTGATGTCAAAGAAGGTAAGATGACCTTGAAGGTTGACGATGATTCTATCGAATTTGATTTGAATAAGGTAATGAGACAACCTTCCTCTAGTAATGAATACTTTAGAATAGATACAATTGAAAACTTGATGAATGAGTTTAGATACCCTCATATGCATGCTTCTAATGATCTACTTGAGAATGTTTTGTTGAATGAGAATGAGGTAGGTGATCAAAAGTAGATGCAATTATATGAGGAAATGCTTGATGAGAAAGAGGAGACAACCCCCGACCAAGAGACGCTCCAAACATATGAAGTCTTCCAAGTTGAAGAGGAGGAAATCTCTAATGGTAAGGGAGCTCCGAAGGTAGAATTGAAACCACTACCTTCGAGCTTGAGGTTTGTCTTTTTGGATGCTAATGATACTTTTCCAGTCATTGTCAATGCTAACCTCACGGAAGAGCAAACCTCCTCATTGCTTAGTGTTTTAAAAAAGCATAAGAAGGCTTTGGGTTATACTCTTGATGATCTCAAGGGTATAAGCCCCTCCCTATGCATGCATAAAATCTATTTAGAGGAGGGTGCTAAGCCGTGTAGGCAACGACAAAGGAAGCTTAATCCTTCCATGCAAGAGGTTGTGAGGAAAGAGGTTTCCAAGCTACTTGAAGCAGGGATCATCAAAGCAATTGCTCATAGTGATTGGGTATCCCCGTTTCAAGTAGTGCTAAAAAAGGGAGGTATGACGGTACTTTTGAATTTATGGATGACTTCTCCGTTGGTGGAGGCACATATGACCAAAAAGATCAAGAAAAGACCACTTTCACTTGTCCCTACGGTACTTTTGCTTACCGTAGGATGCCTTTTGGTCTATGTAATGCCCAGGCTACCTTCCAAAGATGCATGATGTCAATTTTCAGTGACATGATCTAGGAAGAAATGGAAGTTTTTATGGATGACTTCTCCTTTGGTGGAGGCACATATGAGAAGTGCCTAATGAATTTATCTCGTTGTTTAGAAAGGTGTGAGAGTTCCAACTTGGTGCTTATTTGGGAGAAATGCCACTTCATGGTGGAAAATGGCATTGTTCTTGGCAATAAAATCTCCCAAGCGGGCATCGAAGTTGATGGTGCAAAGGTTGATGTGATCGAGAAGCTTCCTCCTCCCACAAATGTGAGAGAAGTGAGGTCCTTCCTTGGTCATGCCGGCTTTTACCGCCGCTTCATCAAAGATTTCTCTTTGATTGCTAAGCCTCTCACATCTCTCTTGCAACAAGATAAAGAATTTGTATTTGATGAAGCTTGTCATGAGTCATTTTGTAGGTTGAAAAAGGCTCTTTGCACTGCCTCCATTGTCCAAGGACCGGATTGGCCTCTACCATTCGAGCTAATGTGTGATGCGAGCGACGAGGCCATTGGATCGGTTCTAGGACAAAGAAAGGATGGGAAACTTCATGTTATATACTATTTGTCCAAGACCCTCAACGATACTCAACGGAATTATACAACTACCGAGAAAGAGTTCTTGGCGGTTATTCATTCATTTGAGAAGTTTAGAACCTACCTCATTGGTTCTAGGAAAATAGTGTATACCGATCACTCGGCTCTCAAATATTTGATAGGCAAGAAGGAGGCCAAACCGAGGTTGTTGAGATGGGTCTTGGTCCTCCAAGACTTTGATTACGAAATGAGAGATAAGAAGGGGGCCGAGAACGTGGTAGCGGACCACCTCTCTAGGTTGGGAGGTGCAAGAATACATGAAGAAGGTTTACCAATTGAAGATGCCCTAATGGATGATGTCTTATATGCTCTTGAGGCAAAATTGGACCCTTGGTATGCGGATATTGTGAACTACTTGGCTTGTAGTGCCATACCTCGGGATTTCACTCCTCAACAACACCGAAGGCTCAAGCATGAAGCAAGGAAGTATATATGGGATGACCCCATGTTGTTGAAGAGAGAGGTGGATGGACTTTTGAGAAGATGTGTTCCTAATGAAGAGTTCCAAGATGTGCTCTTAATGTGCCACTCATCCCCTTGTGGTGGTCCTACGAGTGCTCAAAATATCGCTTCCAAGGTTTTTCAATGCATGCTCTTTTAGCCCTCTCTATTCAAAGATGCTTGGCAATTTGTTAAGACTTGTGATAGGGTCCAAAGGACGGGGAACATATCAAGGCGTGATAAGATGCCCCAAAATCCGATTCTTGAACTAGAAATTTTTAATGTTTGGGAAATTAACTTCATGGGCCCTTTCATCTCATCCCAAGGAAACCGGCACATTCTAGTTGCCATTGATTATATTTCCAAGTGGGCGGAGGCCGTGGCATCTCCCACCAACGACTCAAAGGTGGTCATTAATTTGTTCAAGAAAATCATGTTCCCAAGATTCGGTGTTCCTAAGGCAATCATAAGTGATGGAGGCTCACACTTCAAGCACCATACATTCAACAAGCTTCTTTGAAAGTATGGTGTATCGCACAAGCGAGGCCTTGCTTACCACCCCCAAACAAGTGGTCAAGCGGAGGTCACAAATACGGAGTTGAAAGTCATCTTGGAGAAGATCGTTGCTAGAACAAGGAAGGATTGGTCTAGTAAGCTCATTGATTCATTGTGGGCATATAGGACCGCCTTCAAGACTCCTATAGGGACTACCCCCTATAAGCTTGTTTATGGGAAGAATTGTCATTTACCCGTAGAGATGGAGCACCGAACGCATTGGGCAATCAAGCAAATCAACTTTGATCTCCACAGTGCGGGTGAGCAAAGACTTCTAGAGCTTCATGAGTTGGAAGACTTGAGAATGAACGCATATGACAGTGCACGACTCTACAAAGCAAGAACCAAGGCATGCCACGACGCGCAAATTTCCAAGAAGGAATTTGTGGAAGGACAAAAGGTCCTACTCTACAATTCAAGACTCAAGCTCTTCCCCGGGAAACTGAGGTCTAGATGGAGCGGTCCATTTCAAGTATCCAAAGTCTTTACTTATGGCTCAGTTGAGGTATTCAATGACAAGTACCCTCCATTCGAAGTGAATGGGCACCGTCTCAAGCCATACTATGAGGGTCAACCAATTGAGAAGCCGGAAAATTTATCGCTCATTGATGTTTTCAAGTCACCATGATTCCATGCGAAGTACGTCAAGTTAGTGACGTTAAAGAAGCGCTTACGGGAGGCAACCCGGTTTCTAACCTCTCTGATTTTATTTTCTTTCAAATCGCTTTAACTAATCCATTTAACACTTTTCCCAATCAATTTTGATGTAGGTGTGATTGCGTGTGCCCACGAGGAAAGAGAGACAAGAGTAAAGCAAAAATGAGGAATTTTGAGTAATTGTGCTCGAATGAATACTAAAGAGACAGAACCTCAGCGCGATTTGGTCGCGGCTGAAGCGTGATCCGCAAGAGCAGAAAGGCGCGGGCGCGCCTAGTTTAGTCGCGGGCGCGCCTGTTATATGAATGTTAATTGCTCCCATTCCAAAAAGTAGGAGCGATTTAAGCGCGATTAAGGAGCGGCTCGCGTCAGAAAGCAGGAGCGGGCGCGCCTGTTTTAGGATCGGGCGCGCCAGCTCATTGGTCCTAATACTCACCCAATTCCAGAGAATAGGAGCGATTTTGTCGCGATTTGTGAGCGGCCCGCGATGCCAAAGTGGCGCGGGCGCGCTTATTTGGAGCGCGGGCGCGACAATAGCTTGGTTTGATTTCCAGGGGGTTGGAGCGATTTTATCGCGATTTAGGAGAGGGCCGTGTTCTCTTAGGCGCGGGCGCGCCTAGGACGCGCCTTCGTTGGGAGCGGACGCACCATTCTGGGTTTCAGAAAAAAATACGGTTCGTCTTTTATTTCCCCAATCTTCCCCAAACCCTCAGAAACGCAACATCACCCTTCTATCCCTTCGCGGCCGCTCCTCACCACCATACTCAAGATCATTTCTTCTTCCATCCTCTTCAATCAATCATGCTTAAGCTTCAATCATTCATCTTCTCCGTTTGTTCATCATCAAAGCAAGCAATTAGTCATCCTCAACGCCAACCGCGACGAACTCGTTTGCTACTCAAAACCCTAAACAATTTGTCACCGAAAACAACAATTTTTTGCATAAGGGTAAAGGTATTCAATTTCCTTCTTTAATTACTCTCTTTTGATTAATTTTTAAGCAAGGATTTTGATTATTCTAGGTTATTAGCGAAATTCGAATGATTATTGTTGAAATTACTGCTGGATTCTGTTGAAATTTTTGTTGTTGGTTATTATCTTAGGCTATATTCGTTGTGTTGGTTGGATTATTTTTGCTTGTGAACAGGTACATTGTAGTTTTGTGGAGGTTAGGGGTGGAAATAGCCGGAGTTGGCTATGAAAAGGAGTGAAAACAGAAAAAAAAAAAAAAAAAAAAAAAAGAGAGAGGTGGGCAGTCATGAGTCTAAGGATTGGGAAGAAGAGAAAAACTGCAAAGTCGGGACAATCGTCCCAAAACCCAGAGTCAGACCAACCCAATGCCTTACCCACCTTAAAATTCTTAAACAAAAGCCACTCCTCCATATACTCCGAGATGAAAAAACGTAAGTTGCGACCTTCTAGGCACTACCATCGTAGAGACATGATAAAACTCGAATAAATGATGATTTGTGGATTCTTTTTGACAACCTTCGACTAGTGTCATTTATAAACTCCTCATTCATGACCTACCAAGAACCCACATTAGAGTTTTCTCGTCTTTTCAAGTGGATAGTCTAGAAAATAACGACTTTCGAATTTCTTTCCATTTCTTCAACAACCCCCACACCATGTCATTGGCAGAGTTCAACCGAGCCCTCGACTTTCACCCTGATGCCGACATTCACTACCCTCTTTATGAGAGATTTAGGGAGTATAGTGAGTACGCTTGGTGGCGTTCCATTTTAGGTAAAAATGAGTTTTACACCCGGACTTCCATAGCCAGTGAGATTTGGCACCCTGCCCTTAGGATCCTACACCGTTTACTAGGGTATTCTATCATTAGTAAACAGGACCTAGGAAATCTGACTAAGGAAGAGGTCCTTTGCCTGTGGATAGCCACAAAGGGAGAGTATACAATGAGGTTGAATTTAGGTTTCCTCTTCATGCAAACATGCCAGGCCATAGCAAAGGGAAAAAGCCAGGGGATATACACTGCGGGGCGATGGTCACTAGATTGGTCACCAAGTTAGGATACACTGACCTTCTACCTCTATGCACGGCCGTAGTTAGTAGTGGGGATATTTACCTTGACTTGGACTAACTCCGCTGCTCTGATTTTATCACACCCACGACAAACCCCAATGCTTTGAGGTGGTTAGTTAGAGGAGCCCACCATTGTTTCCTCCCTAAGCCTCACTTCACCTCCCTCACGCGTCAGTCCTCCAATGTGTGGAGAGTTTTGAGAGATAGCGGGCAAGTGCCTGACGTTAATGGGGACGATGAGGTAGGGATAGGTAATGAGGAGGAGGTTCAGGAGCAGCAGCAGCAGCCGGTTTCCCAGCAACCCCCAGGTACAGGAACATTTCAGCTGTCTGATATAGCTAGGCAGTTGCAAGCAATTTATGAGTCACAGCAGGGCCACCATCTGCAACAACAGGCCCTCTATGACTTAGCTGTGGATAGAGGAGAGATTGCTCCCCCCGTGAACTACCCTAATTGGCCGCATCAGCACGACCCTGTTCCATCTTGGGGGGGGGAACAATCTCCCCACTTACCCCTACTAGCAAGGTCCTTCCGAGCCTAGTAGGGAGCTCTGCAGCTTCCCAGGGAACGGGCAGTACGATCATCGTGTGCCCGGCGGGTGTGACTTTAGAGGGGACCCTACTTACCCCTATGAGCATCCCGATCACCCCGCCCCTATGTATTCCTAGTTTGAGGACGCTCCCTTTGATCCTTTGCCTAGTTAGCAAGAGGATCTTTACAGAGGTCGATATGGTTAGCCGCCGGGCATTGACGGTGGTCGGGGCCTTTTTGGCCCCCCTGGTGGCTTCACTTATGACGAGCCGCCACGTCAGCCTGACTCACCTAGTAAGCCTTGCTCTAGTGGCCAGTAGGCTACGTCCCTTGAGTATATCTCTCTCCCCTGCTTTTCTATGCTTATTTTGACGAGTAGGAGATATACTCTTGGTAGGGAGTGACCCGGCTGGGATTCTTGCTTGCCTGTCGGTCTTTCATTGTTTTACTTGTACCTTTATGCTGCTGCTGATTTGCATGACTCCTGTCTTTCGTTGGTTTTTGCCCCTGTTTACTGATATGGTTGTTGAGTTTTTGATGTGTCTGATGATGATGCTGCTTTGGGGACGCTTCTCTCGGTTTGATGGATACCGGCGAGTCCGTCCCCCCCCCCCCCGTTTCTCCTGACGATGATGATGATGATGATGATCGCTGGTATTCGCCGACATGGCGATGAACCGGCGTGTGAATATATGGTTCGATGATTTCTGAGTTTATTTTCTCTTTATTTGGATACTCACCCCTTCTAGGACGCATGCTTTCACTTTGGATATACTCACTTGGGCGTCATTTCGGTGAGATCTTTTTTTTTTATTTTCTCTCTCTATTTTTCGTTTGTGTGCTTTAGGGTAGCCTTAGTTTAGATTGGAGTTGAATGGTTCGAGGTTGTATGCTCTTGATTCTTCGGAATCTGGTGATCGTTGGTATTGATGCTGAACGACCCTTGTTTGACGATTGGGAATTATTTGCTTGCATGCCTTTTGCCTTTATACTCCTTTGTTTTGTATAGGATTTTTCTTTTGCTCAAATCTAATCATGTGATTGTTGTATATTTTGTGTTTATTGTGAGCAATAATTGATGGATTGCATTCTTGAATGACTTTCTTCCTAAGGATTAAGAGTTTCCACGTTCTTGGATTGTCATTGGTTGACTCTAAGATATGTCTATGCTAGGCTAGTTGTGCTAGAACTCGTAAGGCCCACCGAACCCAAATTCACTTGTTTGTGGTAAGAAGGTGTTTCCCTCGTTGGGGGATTGGAAGCCCTAAAGGTAGTTTTTGTAACCCGACGTGAGTTTTCTTGTTCAAGCCTCCAACACTTATTGTATGAGCGGCATAGGATCCTTACCAAGGCATGCTTCGATCGAGAATTTGATGTCTAGCTACCCGAGATCGCGACCGAACTATATCTAGGGAGGACAAAGGCATTTTCTTCGATGACTATTTTGCTTTCCTAGGGTTTAGCTTTTAATTTGTTGCTTCCTTGTAATTTCATTTGCATATCCCCCTTGCTAACCATGTTGAGCCTACATCTCCTTGTTCATAGCATCTTACAAACCCTATGGCCCTTTTATTTCATTTTTCCCCCGTAGAATTGTGAAGTTTGAGCCAAGAAAGTTTGTTGTGATTTTGGTTTGATAAGTTAGAAGATGATGGTTTGGTATGGAAAGTAAGGTTGTCTTCGATATTTTTGGTGGTTAATAAAGGCAAATGTGAATTCCGGAAAAAGCCGTCCATAGTTATAAAAGGCACGGCCAAAGTAATCCAAGGTTGACAACAACATGAGCTACAACAAAAAAAAAAAAAAAAAAAAAAAAATAAATAAATTAAAATTTTTGCCAATTTGCAATCAGTTTTTGATGTAGTGTCCTCCCTAGTTTGCGCATTGAGGACAATACTCAATTCAAGCTTGGGGGAGAGATTCTACGCATTTTATTTATAGTTTTGGGAGATTGTGCTGAAAAAGCTTGGGGGAGATGTATTTTTGTTTGGAAATTGGTGATATTCTACGTTGTTTTCGAGAATTGGCACCATTCTTTGCTTCACAGTTAGGATTTACCACCAAATTTTCATATTTTTTTTCCTCACCTTTACCTCCTAGCCTACATTACAACCCCTTTAAAAGTCCTTTCGACTTCGATTGGTTGAGTCACTAGTCGGTGGAGGGAGCTAGATTTCAATCATATGGAGAGAGCATGACTTGGTAAGATGTTGGGTCACCCTTGTTTCATTTGTTTCGGCTCCTTCGTGGAGTCATGAGATGCTACCTTGTAGGGTGGATTTGAATCCAGATGAGGGAACGCGGTAAGAATGTATGGAATGCGGGTGGAGTGGAGCAAGTTAGAGTTCTCTATGCTTAGCATAACTTATCTTTCAATCAACCATTGGAATCTAAAAA